AGATGGTAATTTTGTCAGCAAAATTGTGTTTAAGTGCAGGCCAAGGTCTTTCRGCACTGCACCCAGTGTGCCGATCACCATTGGGACYGCTTTTACTGACTTGTGCCAGAGTCTTTGCAGTTTGATCTTTAAATCCTCATAKCGTGTCAGCTTTTTCAGATGTTTCTCTTCAATCCTGCTGTCACCTGGGATTGCAACATCAAGAATCCATACTTTGTTTTTTAACATGATTGTGAGGTCAGGAGTATTGTGCTCCAAAACTCTGTCTGTCTGAATTCAGAAGTCCCAGAGTAGTTTGTCATGTTCATTTTCTGTAACYTTTTCCGGCTTGTCATCCCACCAGTTCTTTGTTGCAGGCAGATGGTATTATTATTATTATTATTATTATTATTATTATTATTATTATTATTATTAAGGCCTTGTAGAATTACAACTCCTAGGATTCCATAGCATTGAGCTGTGGCAGTAAAACTGCATTCATTCCACAGTGTATGGACCCCCCCCCCCTCTCTGCACCTGCAATCTATTTCCAGAAGAGCTTTTCAGGAGAGGCAATTCACCTCTCTTTATTTAAATCAGAAAAGGCAACCTGCACTGGAGCCYGTGAGGGGCCACATTTTACCCACCCATGAGAGGCACATGTTTTATTCTAGACGTATGTTTAAACTTCCCCATACTTTGTTAATATAAAGCTGAATGACCTGATGGAGTTTATAAAGGTCCCTTGTCTGCTTCTCTGTTATTAAACAATCAGATCTGTTCCCATGGAGACCGAAGAACTGAAAGAGGTGGAAAGACACCACGAAAAGTCAGCCAATGGCCTCAGGAAGGATAGCTCTTCACAGGCAATATGTCTGGAATTGATTTGCGATGAGAAACCTGAGGATCCAGACTGCCTGACTGAGAAGGATCTGGAGACACACTACATTCCGATTCGAAGAAATTCAAAATACTACCGCTCCTTTAGACGTCGGAACAGAGGGAAAGTGAAGACTGGTAAAGAAGAGCCAACTGAACCTGTAGGAGGTAAGTTGTTGGTTAAGTAGTAGCTCTTTTTCCTTCTTTTCCCAATGGGATTGAAAGTTGTAAGCACAAGTAAAGCAAGAGGAATTTTACAGAAACAACAGTGACAATACCTATGATTTTAGACTCTGGTTGCTTGCCTCTACACATCTGCTGCATCTGCTAGATGTCAAGTTGCAGCAAATCTGAAACTGTAAAAACAAAGACATTGAGAGAGAAAGCCAAGCCAGGTGAGGCCTGATGCCATGTGACAATGAATGACTGTTTAGTTGGCAAGATTTGCAACAAATGAAGGAGTGAACAAGTATATTTAGGATTGAAACCTCAGGAAACAAACAGAAAAAGAATATTGTTGTTTAATCCACCCAAGTACTAGAAACACAAGTTTTTGTATTTTTCCACCCAGCCAAGAAGTTATATACTTAGGAATTCTGTGACACATTCAAGTAATTCAGGATGACTTACGTTCATTATCTCCTTAATGGAGCTTCTCCTGACACTTAAAGCCGATCACTTCCTCTATTAGGAAAGACACAGGTCCTGTCTACATGGCCAAAATAATCGTACTCTTCACATATTGGCTGTTTTCCTGTAGGACAACCTTTGTGATGATTTGCATTCTGTCTGGTTCTTCTGCTCATAAACCATTAAAAAAATAACCTTTTGCCCAGCATTCTGACCAAAGATCTAAATGATGGGTTTTTTTCCCATTTTGTTTTGTTTTTTGGTATGGCCACCCCAATAGATGGATTTGTACTGGAGCTGAGGGAAGTGATCATAGCTAACAGGTCATATGATCATTCCTGCCAAGAAATGAATTCAGCCACAGCTGAATTTTTAATTTCAAACTTGCTGTTTTTTTTAATGAATGTATATACAGATAATTGCAGATCAGTATACTCATATAGATCTTGGGAGCAGTGAGAGCAACCTGCCCATCTTTCACAAAGATCTAAAAACCTGGATGTTCCACTGTGCCTTTCATTAGACAGCTCCCCAGAAAATTTTGGCCACCAGCTATGACCCAAAATCTATTCCTTGCACTTTACTACTGTTCTCTACCTAGAGATATAGTGCTATATTGCATATTTCCCTCTATTCCTAATTTTGGGGTAACTCCCGCAATAAAGAAGGGGCTGTCCAGATGACATCCTAGACAATCCTGAATTAATTCACCAAAAACCAGGAAACCCATGGTTTGTAGCAAATTAATTAGATAGTGGATTTATTCTGCACCTTCTTGGAAAGCATGGGATAAACCCACTACATTTGGTGTCTGGACTTTTGGTGTCTGGACTAAATTAGTCTGGAAAACTGTGGGAATACCCACCCCCCTCCTCACAACCCCTAAACCCCTTTAAAAAGTAAGGAAACATACCCGGCTTCCAGTAGACTGTAGCTGAAGCTCTCCTGGCACGTATAAATGATGTGCCCCCTCACTCTCTTGGCACATCATTTCTATGTGTCGGAGGAGCGCTGGTTACAGTCTACTAGAGGCCAGGTAAGTTTTCCTTACTTTTCAAAGGGCTTTGGGGGCTTTGGGGAAGGGTGGTACGGCCTCCAGATGTTCTCATGGGCCAGTCCCCCAAGAGCATCTGGAGACCCACCTTAGAAAGCACACACTTCCTGCGGATGGTTCTGAGATAAAGACCTGTCTGGAACTGCCCATAGTCATCTGGCTTTTGCATTTTACCCATTAGCCCTGTCCTCACAACTGATTTGCACCACCTGTCCACCCGAGCCCAGAGACTGTTTACTATTTCAGGCCATTGGTTGTCTTGCTGGATGGTTGTTTTTATATTGTGTTGTGTTGTTGGTTGTTTTATATTTTTTATGATGTTGTTTTATGAATTTTAGTGTGTTATATTTTAACTATATTCACCAGGCTTGTCCCCATGTAAGCCGCCCCAAGTCCCTTCAGGGAGATGGAGGCATGATACAAAAATAAAGTTGTTGTTGTTGTTGTTGTTGTTGTTATGTCAGTTTTAGCTGACATATAACATCCTGTATAACAGGATGGCTAAAGATAACTTAGGTGGAAATACATATATTTATTTGTATAACAGGATGAGAGAAAAATTAAGTGGCTACTGCAATGTGGCCACCAATTGTGCAAATACAGGTAGTCCCTAAGTTATGAACAAGATAGGTTTTGTAGGTTTGTTCTTAAGTATGCAAGTCAAAACAGGTACATTTTTTAAAATTGTAGCTTTGATAGCACAGGGAAGGGTTAGCACCCCTGTGGTGTTTGTTTTGCTGTCTGTAAACCTGTTCAGAAGATTTCACCTCACTTTCTGTCCCTGTGATAATTGGATTTTGAAAAATTTGGCTTGTTGTGGAAACAAAAATTAGGGATATAGCTTCAGTAGAGACACCTTTTCCCCATGATAACTCTTTCAGGAGTGAATTTTCTTTTCGAGGGGTAGATTTCTCTCACTTCCTATTGTCTCACTCTCATTCTTAACTATGAGTCATTTGTAAGTTGGATGTTTTTAACTCGGGGACTGCCTATATGAGGATTTTTTCACAAGCAAGCACACATCAAGGTGAGTTCACTCAGGGAACATGTGTGGCTGCTTAAGACCACAATGTGATTGCTGCATGTTGCACTAAGGCAGTGGTTCCCAATCTTTTTTTGACCAGGGCCCACTATGACCAGGCCCACTTGACTAGGGCCTACTTGACCAGGGTACACTTTGACCAGGGCCCACTTTGACTAGGGGCCACTTTGACCAGGGACCACTCTCCAACACTAGCATCAAAAGGGGTGGTCTGGTCAGCTCTGTGGAAAGGAGCAGAAATAAAATTAATAAATAAAGAGGAAGAAGGTGTCGCACATCAGGGCTGGGAAGGCTCCTTTAAACCAGAACTCAGTTTATAAGCAAAGCCGTTTATTAAGGAATAAATGTAGCTTCAGCAAAAATGATTAAAAGATCTAAGTCAATACAAAATGTAATCTATGTAAAACTTGAAAGCAATAATCCATGAGTCCAGGATACAGGAAAGTTCTTTAATCTGGAGTCTTTAACAAAACACAGCAACCCAGAAGATCAAAAGTACACAGCAGCTATAACATAAATCCAAAAATACAGGAAACCAGGAAACCATTTGATACTTGGAGTAATACAGGAGACCAGGAAACCACTTGATACTTGGAGCGTGAGTCCATGAATAAACACATAGAAAAACCTAAAACTTGAGTCCATGAATCCCATACATATGAGAAAATTTGAGAGAGGAACCTGAAACATGTAACTTGAATTCAGACATTGAATCCTCTAAGGAATAATCCAAATCAAACCTCCTTTATACCTAAGAAACTATGGTGCTTCTCTTGGAAACTCTCTGGAAACCCTTCTCATTAACAGCGACTCCCTTCAGCTGCTTGTCTTTGTTGACAAATTGCTCTTCTTCTATCTAACTAAGGAAAAACAGGAGTGTCAGGAGGAGACACATCTGCAATTACTACATTCCGATCAGAGACTGACCTTGGTTCCCTTGAGAAATCTAACTCAGGCCTGTCTGCTTCTGAATCTGTCTCCAACTGCAAATCCATTGCTGGCCTAACATTCCTAGAATCCCCAGCCCCATCAGGTACAGAACCAGACTCCTGTGACTCCTCAGATGCTGGCACAATCTCCTCTGACACCTCAGACATTTGGTACAATCACAGGCTGAATCGTGGACTGGATTTTCATTCTTGCAGCCCCAAGGTTGAGAACCACTGCACTAAGGGAAGAAATGTTGGGTCTATACGGATCTGGAAAATATGGGCTGTGGAAGATTTTTTTTTCAGGTGGAGAAAGGCTCATAGGTTGGCATTAAAAGAGTGGAAGCATTTCCCATAGGATGTGGTTTACCTTGTTTCCCTAACAAGGACCTCACATCCTCTCACAAATGACTGGGCCCATTTCCACTTGCAGTATATACGTCTCTGTTCTTTCTCCAAGGATATAAACAGACAGCAGAAGACTCAAAACTGCTACTTAATATTCAGCTCCAGTCACCAATGTAGTTTGTGGACACAATGAGCTCTTTGGTATGCCAAGACACAGACGTCTTCTCCACCGTGACATTGCAGTATGCAGCCAGGATAACATACGTATAGCTTTTCTTACTGAATCACCGAAACCCAAGGGAGAAACTGCACCAAGGCTGGTGCAGTTGAGAAGAAGAAACTGACGAGAAGAAACTGACCTGCTGCATGCGGCACAGAATCATAACACCTGTGAAGGACACACCGCTCTCTGTCTGGGTCTCAGAAGCAGGAACTATCTGAAGAAAGCTGAGTCTCCTGGAACCTGTACAGCCTGACCACTTCGTTCCCCTACATTTTGTGTTGCTAAAGCAGCCCTTGCTAATCCAAAGAACTAGAAGACGAATCAATCTCTCCCCCAGAACATAAACAACATTTTCTGCCTGAGTTAATGTTTGTTCAAACAACTAAGAAAGAATAAGCCTCAGCCTTTACATTTTGTGGATTCTGCATGCTCCACAAAGCTTAAATCTTTGGCAAACAGGAGGATTTCTTCTTGCAATATTGGCTAAAGTTCATGGACAGTAAGAATGGGTGAGCATTTTATCTTGTCTTTTATATATTATAGCTCGAGGGCACTGCATTTGTGTGTGTGTTGTTTGGTGGGTTTACAAAGATGAGTCAAGCTTTTCTTTGCTTTGTTTATACAGTCCAGGTACAGGACATGTTTGTCTCTTGGATGTCAGCTCTGTGTTCCATTATGTCACCTCTCATTTTGACAGTGAGGGAAAGTATATTGGTGAGCAGAATGGGTCGATACAGCATCTTATAAGGATGACAAGTGATTCATCATCCCATCCCAACTTCTAATTGGCAGTTCCAAGTCAAGACTAAATGCCCTGAGGAATAGCATGGTTAATAAGCCTTTAGATGGACTGTGTCCTAACATCAAGGTCAAATGTCTGAAACAACAAATGACCAAATTGTTCTAGATTCATACTTTGCTTGCTAGAAGTATGAATCTACACTCACTACACTTAAAAATTGATTACATAACCAACTGTATAAGGTAAAGAGAGTAGGGAGTACAATAAATAAAATATATTTACTGTTATGCGTTGTTATATATTACAAAAAATGTCTGACAGTGTTGTTTATATTATTTCCATCATAAAAATATCTAATTGGTTGCCATGACTTTCATTCAACCATATTCAGTGCAGCAATTTTCATAACAATTTCATTTCCCAATACCAAAAATTGCAATGATTCTTGTTAAATCAATGTATCTGTATGAAGAAGACACGAAAACTGTGTGCAACAAATAACAAATAAATTCACATCAAATGAACTTTAAAGTCATAATTGCTATAGCAGATCATTTTCTAATTTACACTGCCAAATTTTGCTATAAGAGCCATAAGTCAGAGTGCATAATATTTATGTCAGTTTCTTTTGACCTAATTTGGAATCATAGAATCAAAGAGTTGGAAGAGACCTCATGGGCCATCCAGTCAAACCCCCTGCCAAGAAGCAGGAATATTGCATTCAAATCACCCCTGACAGATGGCCATTCAGCCCCTGTTTAAAAGCTTCCAAATTTACTGATGTAAAGTAATGTTAAATGATATCAATGAAGGAAAGATACTGACCTAAATCCAATTGCTGGTCCTACCTACAGTAGACTCATTGAATAAAAGGAAATTTGGTTAAAATCAAGATTTGTTTAAGTTCTTGATTCAATAGGTTGCTGTTGATGGACTTAGCTATTGTTACTCATCCTCAAAGAAAAAAGAAAATTTTGAGTTAAGACCAGAAAAAGTATATAGTTATTCCAGACATAATTTATTCTCTCACTCACAAAAGTTTTAAATTCCAAGGAAGTAAGAATTAGAGTATTCATAGCTTAACAGCCCTATTTATCGCTCAGCATTTTACGCTCATTAAGATTTTGGAATATAAATGTGTGAAGAGCTATGTCAACCTTGTCCACTTCTTTGTCTTTTCCTTCTTAATTGCAATCACTTTGTAAAACCCGACAGAAGAGAATAATGACAATTTAATTATCAACATTTCCTTTTTCATTTCAAAGGCTCACTTAAAAATGGTAACACCAGAAATGAGTTTCTGAACAAAGATGAGCTGTTACGCATATTCCGCAAGGGCATGTCTCTTCATGTGAAACCAGATCTGACAGCTACAGAAGAACAATGGTTTCAAAGGTAAGAAAGGAAACTATCCCATTCTGTAAAGATAATGGTTTTTTTTTTTTAAAAAAAGGATAAAATTGGGTTTAAATGATAATAAAATGGATTATTTTTATTACATTTACAAAACTTTGTTTACTGAATTCCATTTAGGGTCCCGTCTCCCATTTCTTTCATTTCTCAACTTTGATTTCATTTCTCAACCACTAATCATAACAACTTGTAGTACAGTACAAAGTACAAGCAGTTCCCAGAGTTATAAACATCCAACTTATAAACGACTCATAGTTAAGAATGGGAGTGACACAACAGGAAGTAAGAGAAATCTACTTCTCGGAAGGGAAATTCAGTCCTGAAAGAATTATCATGGGGAAAAGGTATCTTCACTGAAGCTTTATCACCAATCCTTGTTTCCACGACAAGCCAATTTTGTCAAAATCCAATTATTACAGGGACAGAAAGTGAAGTGAAATCTTCTAAACAGGCACAGACAGCAAAACAAAGGGTGTTAATCCTTCTGTATGCTACCCACAGCTTGTGTGTGCATGTGTGTGTCTATCTATCTATCTATCTATCTATCTATCTATCTATCTATCTATCTATCTATCTCTATAATAACAGAACCTATCTTGTTCGTATCTTGATTAAAACCACACAATCCAAGATCATAATCAAAAAGCCATTCCAAGTTTCATTGCACATTTCCCATCATCACTTATTGCATTGCATTATTGGCCAAAGCCTTGGTCACAAAGCCATGTATTTACATGCTTTCTGAAGGTCAGGAGGGAGGGGAGCTCACCTAATTTCACTGGGAAGGGAGTTCCATAGCAGAGCGGTCACCACGGAGAAGGCCCTGTCTCTCGTCCCCACCATTCGCGCCTGTGAAAGAGGTGGGACCGAGAGCAGGACCTCCCCAGACAGTCTTAACCTCCAAGTTGGTTCATAGAGAGAGATGCATTTGAACCAGGGGCCCTCAAACTTTTTAAATAGAGGGCCAGGTCACAGTCTCTCAAACTGTTGGAGGGCTGGATTATAATTTGGAAAAAAAATGAATGAATTCCTATGCACATTGCACATATCTTATCTGTAGTGCAAAAAAAAAATCAACTTAACAACAATACAATAATTAAATTGAAGAATAATTGTAACAAATATAAACTAGTATTTCAATGGGAAGTGTGGGCCTGCTTTTGGCTGATGAGATAGGATTGTTTTTGTTGCTGCTGTTGTTGTGTGCTTTCAAGTTGTCTCAGGCTTAGGTTGACCCTGAGTGAGGGCCGGGTAAATTACCTTGGAGGGCCGTATCTGGCCCCGGGCCTTAGTTTGAGGACCCCTGGTTTGGACAAATAAGCTGGGCCAGAGCCATTTAGGGCTTTATAGGCTAAAGCCAGCACTTTGAATTAGGCTTGGTAGCAGACAGGCAGCCAGTGGAGCTGATGCAACAGCAGTGGGTGGGTTGTATGCTCCCTGTACGCCGCTCTGGTGAGCAACCTAGCGGCTGCTGCCCCTTGCACCACTTGGAGCTTTCAAACAGTCTTCAAAGGCAATCCCATGTAGAGTGTAGTGCAATAGTCTATTTGGGATGTAACAAGAGCATGGACCACTGTGGTCAAATCTGACTGTCCAACGTTATCAGTGCAAAAACAAGTAAGAAAAAAATATTTAGCTAGACAAATATTCAGGAGCATATTAACCTGATCGATACATCCCTCATAATATCAGTACTTGAGAACATCACCTTCCTGTTATGGCTGGTTTTGGGATCAAGTGTGACATTTTCATCAATACTTGTTTAAAAGCTAGGTATTTTTGACTTTCATTATTTACTCATCGATTGTTTATTTACCATTTTTATAAACAAGGTTCTGGAAATGGTCGCTAATCTACCACTGATAATAACATGTCACAAGCAAACGAGGTTTCGGTATGCTATTATTATTTGGATTAACAATTAATCTATATAAGCCTCTCCCTTATAAATCTTCCATTTATGCATCAATAAGTTGGATAAATGGTTCAAAGTTCATACATGCTTGGCAGGTTGTAGAAACTCCATGCTCATACCATATTTCTTAGAAATCTACTTCATTTCCTGTTCACCTTTGCCTTGAATTAAAGGGAAAAACACCCAAAATAACAGCTGATCACTATATTTATTTTAATTTTACTGTGTTTGCCCCCAAATATCCATAAGGTCCAGTGGAGACAGTAATAATTGTAGTTCTTATACAGAGAAAATGGCAGCTTTTGGATTGTCAAATCTCAGGGTGTGACCTCTCTCTTCTAAACCTCAGGGCAAAGGGAGGAATCTCAGGGCGAGACACTCCCTTGAAAAGAAAATATTGGTTATTTTTAGCAAGCACTGCTGACCTCTAGTGCTGCCATCTGCCTCTGAATGGCTCAGAAGTGTGTGTGGCTATAAATCACAGCCAGCATCAAGACTCAGCAGTTAGTCCAGAGTAACAATGAGCTACTTCATTATTTACTCCCACAGGCGTTCCCAAATTGAGTCCTATAGGACTGCTGCTTTTCCTTTCTTACTGTTAATTTTATTAGTTCTGTTCCTACCTTCCTATTGTTGTTGAGTGCCTTCAAGTTGTTTCCAATACATGGCAACCGTAAGGTATTTTTGGAGCATCCCCCCTCCCCAGGATTTGTTCAGAGTGGGTTTCTTTATGCTTGAATCCTCAGTACAGTTCGTTTCTTGCTCAGAGGTGTACGTGAGTTGCACCATCCTTAGTACAAAGCCTGATTGATATTAATGTCTTCTACAGGTCTCTTTGGGTGCTTGATTCCTTTCTCATTCTCATTAATTTCTCTTTTCACGTCTTTCTCGTTCTCTTCTGCATTTCCTCATTAAAGTTCTCCAATATTGCTTATCTCACCCTGTCTCATTATTTCCCCTGCAACTCCTCCCTCTACAGTCTGTCCCCAAGTTACGAACAAGATAGTTTCTGTAGGTTTGTTCTTAAGTTGAATTTGTATGTAAGTCAGAACCGGTACTTTTAAAAGTGTAACTTCAGCCAAGTTATTTTAGCTTTGGATGGCACAAGGAAGGGTTAACACCCCTGTGGTGCTTGTTTTACTGTCTGTGCCCCTGTTCAGAAGATTTCACCTCACTTTCTGTCCCTGTGATAATTGGATTTTAAAAATTTGGCTTGTTGTGGAAACAAGGATTGGTGATAATGCTTCAGTTGAGAGACCTTGTTCCCATAATAACTCTTTCAGGAGATAATTTCTTTTCCTAGGGATAGATTTCTCTCATTTTTGTTGTCTTACCCTGCTCTTAACTATGAGTCATTTGTAAGTTGGATGTTTGTAACTCAGACATTGCCTGCATTCATCTTCTAACTCATTCCTCATATCTCAGTCTCGCTGTCTTTTTTTGTACTCACTAGTTTCTTCCAGCTCACAAATCCTGGTTAAACATCTCCTTCCCTTCTTTCATTCTCTTGTCCTCTTTGTTTTGCTTCCTGCCACTATCCCCAACTGAAATGTGTTTTCCTTTCCTTCTCTCTTTTTCTTCTTCACTTCTCTTTCTTATCTTGGTTGTAGTTGTCTCCTTACTCTTTTTCCAATTCTCTTTCTGAAATATTTTATAAGAAAATGGAACAACAGGGGCTTAATTAGTACTTTCTCAACCAAATGGGACAATTGGATGGCATGGCATATCTTTCTAGGACACTCATGTAAGGCTTTTTCTAATATAAAATCATAGAGTTGGAAGAGACCTCAAGGGCCATCCAGTCCAACCACCTGCCAAGAAGCAGGAAAATTGCATCCAAAAGACCCCCGACATATGCCCATCCAGACTCTGTTTAAAAGCCTCCAAAGGAGCCTTGACCACACTCTGGGGCAGAGAGTTCCACTGCTGAACAGCTCTCACTGTTAGGAAGTCCTTCCTCATGTTCAGGTGGAATCTCCTTTCCTGTAGTTTAAAGCCATTGTTCCATCACTTAGTCTCCAAAGCAGCAGAAAATGAGTTTGCTTCCTCCACCCTATGACTTCCCCTCACATATTTATATATGGCTATCATGTCTCCTCTCAACCTTCTTCTTTTCAGGTTAATCATTCAGGCACTCCTCATAGAGCTTGTTCTCCAGACCATTGAACATTTTAGTCGCCCTCCTCTGGACACATTCCAGCTTAGAGTCAATATCTCCCTTCAAATTCAGTGCCCAGAATTGGACAGAGCAGTCTAGGTGTGGTCTGACCAAGGCAGAATAGAGCAGTAGCATGGTTTTCCTGGATCTAGACACTGTACTCCTATTTATGAAGGCCAAAATCCCATTGGCTTTTTTAGCTGCCACATCACATATCTCATTAGTTATCATTTTTACCATGCCCAGTGCTAGCAGTATTATTTCAGGCAGTTGTGGCCACAGTATCTGTCAAATAGTCCTGGAAAACATTAAATCATTGCAGAAAATTAATTTGTTGAGAACATTTTGGAAACATAATGTTTAGCTTGTTAAATAAAAGTATAGATATATTCATTTTTTGAAATGGTCAGTAATTAATTAAAATAATGAGGACCATTATTGGGAAAAAAAGCATTTTTGGAATTTAACAATTCAATTAGCAAACATGAATGTTTTTAATGCTTTTTAAAAAAATTTGGCATAAACGCACTGCATTTTAATTGATAGTTTGTAAACATCATGCTGTGCTAATTGCCAAATGCTGTCCTAAAAATTAAAAAGCTAGTTAGAGTAAAATAGCAATACAGTGCACACATCAACAACAATGTATAATTTTAAAAAACCTCCAAAAGATATGTTTTCCCTATTTTCTCAAAGAGTCTGAGGGCCCTTCCAGACAGGTCTTAATATCCCAGGATCTGATCCCATGTTTTCTGTTTATCTCAGATTATCTGGCACTGGGGGACTCATATAATACAGTTTAAAGCAGAAAACCTGGAATCAGATTCTGGGATATAAGGGCCCTGAGAGTATTTTTCTAAAAGCCACACAATTAATACTTGCAGTTTTTGCAGTGAACCCAAGCCCTCC